CCCCCCCCCCCCCCCCCCAGCAGGACTCAAGTCCTAGAAAATGAACTGTAGACCAGACCTTGGAGACCTGCAAGACAGGCCAGCTGTGGAGTCAGGCACGAACTCAGAGCCCTGTGACAAGTCCTAGAAACACTCCAAAGGGAGCTAGTGGACACATCACAGTACAGAAGGCAATAGTGTTATCTGCGTGATGGAAATACATTTTTCTTGACCCCCCCACCAAAGAAAGAAAAAAGGGGGAAAAAGGATTTTTAAGGCGTTTATTTCACTGAAACGGATCATGCACACGACTTTACCCAATAAACAGTCTAAGTTTGCTTCAATTTCTCCACCCCATATATTTACAGTCTGATTTTTTTAGGTTTATTTAATTCTGTGTTTATGGATGTTTATCCCGTTGTGTACTGCATGCATGCCTAGTGCGACGGAGTCAGAAGAGAGCGTGGGATCCCCATGATTGTGAGCCACCATATGAGTACTCTGTGAAAGAAACAAGCGCCCTTGAGCATTGAGCCACCCATCTCTCCAGCCCCCCAGACAGACAGGTTTCTGAACGTGAATATTCAATGTAAGGATGGCACATAAGAACTTTTAAATATAAGCAGACAAGTCACAAACGTGTGTGAGGAACACACTGCTGCAGGGAGACATCCCCAGGTTAATTCTAACTTCAGATACTCTGATTTGCATAAGAAGTTTGATGCCCACTAATGTGAGTTGACTGGACAGCTTTTGTATAGCCCTTGAGTCATGGAACTTCTATCACGCGGAACCCGGTGAGCTATAGGAACTCGGTTCTCCTTCCCCGGCACAATTGCAGGCCAACAGCATTCTTTGTGCTACGGAGCTGAGGATGAACCGCTGCATGAATGAAGATTAACTGCTTTTAAGCACTTAAGAAATAATTTCTACTCCCAGGAAGGTAATGCAAAATACTCGGGACTATAAAATGATGAATAAGTGTTCTATGTTCATGATCAATGTTCTTGCGCCCAAGTTAAGGCTGCGCTAATTCGTCACGTGTACCTAGGTGGTTACAGCTAGGTATCCGTATCTGCGATCACATGGGAAGCTTAACCCCAGGGCTAGACCCTCTCTTATTGAGTTATTCAGCTGTTATTAGCTGGAATTCTAAAAGCGGGGGCGGGAGGTGCTGATTTAATTCGAGGAAGCAATTTTGAGAAGAGTTTTAGCTCCAGCCTGCAGTGTGTTACATAAGCTAGGGAGAACCTGTTGGGGGGGGGGGCTTCACATCATCATCACAGGAAACACACCTGAGCTTGCTCTTTGGGTGTGTTTTCCTTGGTTTATTTTAATTTTTGAAAGTGTTTATTACATTTTTATTCATTTGTTTTGCGTTGATGCAGAGGACAACTGGCAGAAAGGGAGTCCCTCCTCCTACCATATGGGTCCTGGGAAATCAAGCGTAGAATGTAGAAGTTTCTAGAAGTGTCTTCTGGTGGCTCTTCCTAACAGCACTCAGGAACAGGGTGGGAGCTCCCACTGTTTAGACTCGTCTGTCTAGAGTTTTGTCTTCCCAAACCTACAAACATTTTATAGTGTTTCTAGGGTAATGTTTTAAATAAAAAAAAATGAAATTCAACAATTTTTATTCGAAAATAGAAGTTTCAGTAATTTCCCACTGTTTGTAGTCAGGGCCTCCTGTAGCCCAGGCTGTACTGGAGTTGACTGCACAGCTGGGCACGAGCCTTGAATTTCTGATCTTCCTGCTTTCATCTCCTAAATCCTGGAATTGTAGGTGTGAACCGCTAGGCCTGGCTTGCTTTTGGTTTTTATTAACATAAAAGCTATAAAGGTACAGGCCACATGTGATAATTGAAAGGGGTGTGTTGGTTTTCCTCTTATGCCACAGGCAGTTGTGGGGAAGAGATCACTGAAGCCCGGGGCAGGAAGAGGACCACTGGAATAATTCAGAACAGTTACCATGAGGGAAAAGAGCTGAGATGTTTGTGCAGGTGTGTGCCCAACCTGGAGGCAAGAAAGTGATGTGAGATTCATAACTGAAAGTGAAATTTTGTCACATGTGAGGGTAGATATATGGACGTAAGGGTTCCTGATGAGCTGGCCTGATCACACATGTAGACTCTGGTGAACAGGCATGTTGGTTCAGGAAAGACAAGCTTTTAGCTTCAGTTGTCCTCTTGTATATCCCCGAAAATCACTATGCCATCAGTAAGGGTTGAGCTGAGTGGAGCTCACAGCAGGAAAGCTGCTCCTTTAGACCAGATCCCACAGGCTGCAGGGTCGGGCCACGCCTTCCGGCAGCTCTCTCTGCAAGAGAGCAATCTGTGCAATATGATTTGACAGCTTTCGACTTATGGCATCTGGCTCTTCCGTGCTCTTGCTCACATATGCTATACTGAATTAAATCATGTGATGTGAAGCTTCCTGGTAGCACCACACAGCCCCCCGCAAAAGTCTGACATGTATTTTGTTGCTCTGTAGAGGCTCCTCTGGCTGCCTCCATCATCCTTTCCTGCCAGTGTCCCCTCCTCTCCCCTCACCTCTTTCAGTGAAGATCCTCTCTAGATTTGTTTGGTTGCTTGGTTGGTTTCATTGTGTAATCCAGGCTGTCCTGGAACTTGCTCTGTAGAGCAGGCTGACCTCAAACTAAGAGATCCCCCTGCCTCTGAGTCCTCAGTGCTGGGATTAAAAGCGTGCGCCACCACTGCTGGCTACTCTGCAGGTTTTAAATGGAAGCTTTCACCCCTTTGCACGATGCTATCACATATAGTCACATATGCTGTATTGCTTCTGTTTAATGCTTTTTCTGCCACCTTAGTGCCTGCTCATGGCCTGGAGGTCATGAACAGCATCTCCTGAAGAGAGTTACGTGTCAGCTGCCTTTCCAGTCTAGCCACTGCTAATATTTTTTTCTCTGTATGCAACAAAAAGTACTGTTGGCATTCACATGTGAGCCAAAGAGGGCCTAGATTGTGGCAATAGCTGTGAGGATGAGGCAGAGTCTACAGAAGGCACTTGAGCGGTACTCTAGTTCTTAGGAAGCCTTTCTGGATACCTGCCCACTGTAAATTACCCTCTTGGGTGTGACCATGTGCATGCTGTTCTATGGGGATGGAATGGTGTCTGCTTCAATCATAACCATAGCACCAAATTAATTACCTAGCAGTTGGCATCACCTCAGTGACTACCAACTGATGGACTATTCACTGATGGTGAATGGGGGCTCTTAGTGTAGGGCTGAAATCACCTGTCAGTATCCGTTCTCTGAGAAAGTGGCTGTGGGAATGGCTTACTGGGACCTTAAGACACGCCATAAGCTTTCAGTGGAAAATGATAGACGTGTGTCAATTAGAATTCAAACTCGTTCAGTTAGGTCACTAAGACTGATGTAGCCCAGACCAAATGCACGTTCATCCATCAATGGCCAGGAGATGTGGCGACTCCTTCTAGAACCTTTTCAAGACAGAAGAGCTAGAAATGACCACATCTCAAATTACATGGAACAAAAATGGGTAGAAAGTAGTTTCTTAAAAGATAAGAGGGAAGGGATGCGAGTCAGACAAAGATGCGCCTTCCCCCATATGTGAGAGACTTTGCTCGACGAAGAGACTGGACTAGATGAGTTCAATCTCCCTGGGAATCGTTCTGACTTGTACAAGGAACATCTTTCAATTGTCTGCATGAAGACAGCAGCCAGGTCAGCTACAGAAGAAGGCTTTTGGTTTTATATCCTGCGTCAATGGTCAAGTGGAGGGAATCAGTTCAGAGCGTGCAAGGGCTGCCTGCTGCTTGTATTCGGTGTCACATAGGTGGGAAAGGCAACTCTGTCCTAAGTTCAAATTCGTTCTTTTGTTCTTCCTTCATGGAAATAGTTCACTGTACTTTCCTGTTTGTTTTGTTTTGAATTTTGAGGCAGGGTCCTGTGGAGCCCAGGCTGGCTCAGTTCACTGGGCAGCCAAGCCTGATTCTCCTTCCTCCACAGGTGTATGCCAACCACACCCATTGGGAGATACTTTGAGCTAAGGCCAACCTAGCTCTTCCTAAGACTACCTTAGTGTAAACCCCCTAGAGAGAGATGGCATTTCCTGTGGGGACCCCAGAATATGTTCTGACGCCTCAGTCTGTCCCTAAACTCTATGAGAGTCGGGCTGCTCTCAAAGGTGCTGATATTTGTTGGTTGGATGGAAAGTTTCTGGAACTGAATGCAGACCTCTCAAAGGCATCTTGAGTTGCTTTCCCGAAGGGAGAAAGAGGCAGTTCAAAGTCCAGTTTTACATCCGTGATTATGTTGTAAGTTATGTGCTTATCCTAAAGGGGAAGGGCCCGTGAGCAGGTGTGGCAGGAGAGGCAATCAGTCAGGGTTGTTTCCTGTTTCAGGCACACATTTTTTATTTGTCTGACTGGGGAAGTGGGTGTGGAAAGAAAACTGGTTACAGGCTATTAGGAACTGCTTAGGATGAGCTTCGACCCACAGCTTACTCTCCTCTGCCCTGTTATACCTTCTATTGCTGCTGCTGGTGGTGGTCATGGTATGTGTGCTGATAGGTGTGTATGATGCATGTGTGTGTACATGTGAGTGTGGTATATGTGTGTGTATGTATGTATGCAGGCGTGCATATGACAGGTCAGAGGACAACCCTGGGTACAGGCCTTTGCTTTCCACCTTGTTTGAAGTGGATCTTTTGTTCCCCCTGCAAGGCTCCCAGGAGCCCTTCTTCTACCATCTTGAATCGTGCATCCTGGGATTGCAGATACATCTACTTACTTTGACTCTACATTGGTCCTATAATCCTACACAGCAATCTGAACTTTGCATACTTGAGTAGCAGGCCCTTATCCACTGAGCCATCTAGCCCCTGCCCCGTTACATTCTTGATAGAAAAATAAAATGAACACGTGTGCTTTTTTTTCTTTTTTTTTAATATTTATTTATTTATTATGTATACAATATTCTGTCTGTGTGTCCTGTGTGTCTGCGTGCAGGCCAGAAGAGGGCACCAGACCCCATTACAGATGGTTGTGAGCCACCATGTGGTTGCTGGGAATTGAACTCAGGACCTTTGGAAGAGCAGGCAATGCTCTTAACCTCTGAGCCATCTCTCCAGCCCTGCTTTTTTTTTCTTTATTCAAATGAACCATTTCACTAGCCTTAAGTTGTTAGTCAATGTAAGGATTTGTTGCCTTTAACTCACAGTTTCCAGATTTATGCACACATGTTCTGAGTGTACTCTTTCTTGACTAACCAGCCTTGCAAGGACTTTGAGTGTTCAGAACAACAGAGATAGGGAAATTTGAGGCTAAATCTGAAATACTTGCAGAGTTCTTACCATCCCAACCATTTGCCTCTGTGTTCTTCCACACAGCTCCTTCGCAATCACAATGGGATGTAGGATACAGGACTCACTCAGAGCCAAGTTGTTCTGACTGGGAAGGGAGCAGAAGCCCAGCCACCTTTGAGGAGCCAGAGTCCTGGAAAGGCGCCACACAGAGATGTGCTGAGATTCTCCCGGACTCAGCAAGGTGGGCCTGTGCTTGCCCATGCCTGGCGTACACACCCTCGAGTTTGGTGATGGCAGGGCAAGGAGAAAGGGGGTGTACCTTCCACGTCAGTGCACTTTGGTGGGGACAGATGGGAATATCTCTGAAGCTCATCACTACTGGGAATTTTAGTTACTTTTTTGTAAAAACTTTTAAGTGACAACTTTTAAAAGAAGGGTTTCTATGGGTTTAGGGTCGTGGCAGCAAGGAATAGGTGTGGCAGCAGGAGTGAAGGCTGGGAGCTCACATCTTCAAGCACAAGTGTGAAGGAAAGAGAAAATTGGAAATGACCAGAGCCTTTAAATTGTCAAAGTCACCTTCAGAGACATACTTCTCCAACAAGTCACACCTCCTAGACCTCTCCAAACAGTGCCACCAACTGGCACTCAAGTATTTGAGCCTATGAAGAGACATTTTCATTCAAAACACTACAGTATATATGCAAGGACTTGGAGAATACACATTAAGAAGCATTTTCCTGATTGATGGGAAAGTAATTTCATTATGAGCATCTATCTCTGTCAGCCAACTGTAACATTTACTATGTAGTATGTAATGTCATGAAATTCTGTAACATATACTATGTAGTATGTAATGTCATGAAATTCTTAATAAAAAAGAAAATTATTTTAACATTATAAACACCCATGGATATTATGTACACATGTTACTGTCACACAGTACAGCACATGGCTTGGACCTAATGAATACTTATCAAATAAATGAATGAGCATTGCTATTAATTTTCTTTGTTTGTTTGTTTTTGACACAGGATTTCTCTGTAGTTTTGGAGCCTGTCCTAGAATTAGCTCTTGTAGACCATGCTGATCTTGAACTCATGGAGATCTACCTACCTCTACCTCCCGAGTGCTGGGATAAAAGGCATGAGCTACCATTGCCCGGCATAATGTTGCTATTAATTTTGTACTGCATGAGGTATTAGTTAGGTGGTTCAATTTCTGCAGGTGTTCAGACAATGTGAAAGGCTTTAAACTGTAAGGTGTTGACTAAGATTGCATGTGTGCCTCCTACATGTTGGATAAAAACGATAATGACTGGTAAACTCTAATAATCAGCAGTGTTCGTTCAACCCTTGAGTTGGCACAAATTCTATTTCAGGAATGCAGACCAACCTGACTTGGTCTTACTGTGGTATCTGCCCCTCATTGCATCTTTGCGTTGTCCCACAAGGTGGCTAGCCCCTCACCTGGACACCCACCTGCCGGTGCTCTGCAGATGGGGGTTTGGGAGGTTTGGGTCTCAGCTAGCCTCCCCCCTTGCCATCAGACCTCCAGCTCCCTCCAGACCCAGAGCATACATCAGGGAAGAGAATGGGACAATACGCCCTCCACTAGGTCAGATGATTCTCCTTGATGAATGCGTCCCTCTCAGGCTCCATCACACCCACTCCTGTGGTCCTTCCTCTGAAAGGGAGCTGGGACACTTAGATATCAACAAGCCCCTGCTGGATTAAAGCGAACAAGATGACAGAACTATAAATTGTATTGTATGATACAGACAATGGCAGAATTGTCTCCTTGGCAAGCTCCTTGGCAAGGGTGAAAAACGTTTTCTGAACATTCAGCTTGCAAATCTGCATAAGGTGCCAAGCACACGGGGCGTAACTAAACACAGAAATCTCTCCCCTCCCAGCACACGGCATCACCTCATTCATAGAGAAAATTCCATGCAGGAATCTGAAGGGTTGACCTCAGAAGCCATGCGTGGTCCATTCCTCAGTAACTCTGCCACCCTGGAGAAGTTCCTTGGTTACCCTGACTCTTGCATTTCTTCTATGCTGATCAATACTGTTTTGTGATTTGAACTTGATTTGAAATGGGGTGTCTTTCTACTGCTGCCCAAACCACCCTCTCACCCGACCTCAGCAAGGGTTGTAAGATGGCTAAACAAAACTTCCAGGATAAAAGAGCAAATTCCATATGCAGGGGGCAGTAGCCAGAGCCACCTATTCTCTGACTTAGTTACAGAGACGAAATGAGGAACCACAAATTAGAAGGAAGCCCTTCGGCTACACACAGGCTGTAGGCAAGAACCGTAATTAAAATAGGCAAGGCTAAAGGCAGCTGAGAAGTTCTTCAGTTTCAAAGCACAGGGAAGTCCACCAGCCAGTGAACCCTGTCCATACACAATGAGGCTGAATCAGAGTTTTAGTCCCTTGTATTTTTTTCCAGGTTTATTTCTGTTGTGGTAAGAACACTTAACGAGAAGTTTTTACTTGTAACAGGTTTTTAAGCATATGAGACAATAGTGCTGTCTGTAGCTACATATGGCTCTACACAACTAACTCTCCCTGCACGTGCAAAGTTTAGCTTTGGTGGTATGGTAACAGTGTATGTCCATGGTCTGTGCATGTGTGCATGCAGGTGCACAGGTGTGAGTGTGCAGAGACCAAAAGGCCTAACAAGTGTCTTCCCGGGTCTCTCTCCACCTTAGTTATTAAGACAGAGTCCCTCACTGAACCTAGAACTCAAAGATTAGCGAGACTGATGAGCCAGTGAGTCCCCGGAATCCTCCTGTCTCCACTAGCGTTACAGAAACATAATTCAGCGACCAGTTCTTATGTAGGTACCTAGAATCTGAACTCAGATTCCCATGCTTGCAAAGCAAACAGTTTATTGTCTGAGTCATATCCCTAGTTCCTGTTGGTTAGCTATGCCCCTCCCACCCCCACCTCTAGCACCTGGTATACCAAATGTCATTCTCTTTTTCCGTGTTTGGTCATTTAAATTCTTAATAGAACTAGAATCCTGACAAACTGGTCACTCCAGGAAATGGGCTTGTTTCGTGTACCATTATGTCCACTAAACATTTGTTTGACCTCTACTTCCCTGTGGTGTGTGTGTTAGAAACCAGCTTGCAGCATTGTGTGTGTGTGTGTATTTGGATGTGTTATAAGCCAGCCTGCAGCACTGTGTGTGTGTGTTAGAAACCAGCCTGCAGCATTGTGTGTGTGTGTCTGTGTTATAAGACAGCCTGCAGCACTGTGTGTGTGTGTATGTGTTAGAAACCAGCCTGCAGCATTGTGTGTGTGTATGTGTGTGTATGAAACCAGCCCATAGCATTCTGAGAACTAAGGAGTTAGGAGTTGTGACGACCAGTGTTTCCTTGCATCCTAATTACTTTGTCTTCACCCAAAGTCCTTCTGACTTTACTCCTTTCAAAGCATGAACTCCTAAAGAAAATCAAAGTGATTCTCCCAGTAGATGGGAAATCAAAATATCAGCTTAGAAACATTGGTAGAAGGCCCTACAGGAGAGACATGGTTACTCAAGGCAAAGTCATACCATAACATAGTATATAACATAGAAAATACATGAAATCATTGCAGCATGTGAAACCACAGCTAAGGCAAGCATTTATCACCGAGGGAAATGGTCATAGTAAACGGCTGTGTGGGAAAAAGTATGAGCTATAAAGTGTAATGTATGTGTTTATAAATGCAAAGACCCAAAGCTCTCCGCGTAACCTTGCACCTCTGAACCCAGTCCAGTTGTGAAATGCAGGTGTGGGGGTCACAAACCAGAGCATTTTCAAAGCCGGGCAGTGAAGGCCACTTTTCCAAATGCTTTCGGCCCAAACGAGACCGAGTAATCTTGTTTGGGTTTTATGATTTTACTTCTAATCGCTAGTCTGTGTGGCTCTTGGAAGCTCTGGCTAAACTGAGAGATGAGCACTAAGCCCTCACAGGGAGGTAAATCGTGGCGCTGCAGGGCCAGGAAGGACAGACCACCGCCAGGCGGAGGACAGTTTGCAGAGCGCATTCTTACCTTCTCCCTTGCTTTGAGGCAGGGTCTCTTTCTGTTCCTCTGTTCCGTTCTCCAGGCTATCTGGCCCACGAGCTTCTGGGACAGTCTCCTGCCTCTGTCTCCCACCGCACCGTAAGAGTGCCGGCGGTACAGATGCTCGTCTCCTGCCTCGGTCTCCCACTGTGATGACGATACAGATGCCCACTAGCACATCTTCTTCATACGGATTCTAGGAATCGAATTCAGACCCTCGGCTTGCACAAACAAGTGCTCTACCCACTGAGCCGTCTCTGACCCATGCTTTGCTTTGAGATGTTTTGTTTAAAATGCAACAGCAAAGTATTGCATCAAATCATAATTTTTTTTTTTTGATTTTTTGAGACAGGGTTTCTCTCTGTAGCTTTTCGCCTATCTCTGCCTTCAGAGTACTAGGATTAAAGGCATGTGCCACCACCACCCAGCTCAAATCATAATTCTTAAACTCACCCAGGCGCTGGGTGTTGAGGTGACTTTGTGACTTGATATTAGAAATGATGGCATGAAAAGCCTGTGTGTCTGCCTAAGAAATGAGGCAGTGGCCTAAGTCCAGTATTTAGCTGCAAAAGCAGTCTGGCCCTGGAGTCATGAGGACAGAAGACAGGGGGCAGTGCCTGGAGCTCTGGGTTGCCAACATGAGAGGCAGATCAGGGAAGGCGACAAACCTGGAAACCCATGGTGTGGGGTGGGGTGGCTTGTTTATTAGCAAGTGTGTCGTGAGCATGGAAATCTCGGAGCATGTTTATAAACTCACTTTGGGAACCTAAGTAGGAGCAGGGTGTCAGTCCTACTGGGTGACTGAGTCAGTGGGTCTTCTCTCTACGTGCACACACTCACAGAGAGGGAGATGGGTGGAAAGAAAGTTGGGAGCTGGAGATTTTATACCTGCAGGGTTAGTCGGTGCTTTTCCCTAAGTCTAAGCAGTTTTGGGGGGTTCTTGACTGTAAGATGCAGTCTCTGGGTTTCAGCTTCTGGCTCACGGTGCTGTTTTTGAAGCAATGAGTGATGGAGAGTTCCGGAACATGGTGGTGGTTGCAAACACACCCACACCCACCCCCTGTCTCTCTCACACACATACCTCATTCAGGATGCTTTAACTAAGTGGAAAATTTTGTATTAAGTCTGGAAAAGGTTGGTTCCTGACTCAGACGCTGTTTCACAGTGTGGATATTTTTCAGCAGGGGCAGGACACACCAGTGAGCAAATCGCTGTTCACTTCATTCCACTAGAAACAGAGCTGAACCTGAGAATGGGAACTGAGTGGGCTTAAGTAAGCTTATGTTTGGGTGGGAAGGGACGGGAGAGACCACAACAGCTAATCCTGTAAAACAGAGAGACAGAATCTTTACTGTCAGACAAAGCACAGTGATAACCTGATTAAAAAACTGGGAAAGTCCAAATACCTAGCAAACAGCCTGACGCATGAATAAATTAAGTACAATGTGCTGCTATTTTGAGAGGTCTCCCTCTGTAGCTGGGCTGGGCTAGAGTTCACCATGGAGCCTAAGCAAGCCTCCAGTTCTTGGCAGTCCTCCTGCCTTAGCCCCCGAGTCCTAAGATTACAGGCTGGAAAAAACCACATCCAGCCTTATATGCATTCTTGTGCAGTTATTCATGATGCATAAACGAGTTGGAAGTTAAGCATTGTTGCATTCTTAAGGATAATCAACGTCTATGCTCTGGTGCAGTGACTCTCAGCCTTCTGAACACTGCAGCCCTTTGGTGCAGCTCCTCCTGCTGTGGTGATTCCAACCATAAAATTATCTTTGTTGCCATTTCATAACTGTAAATTTACTACTGTTATGAAACATAATGTAGGTATCTGACATGCAGGCTACCTGATGTGTGACCCCTGTGGAAGGGTCATTCGATCCCCAAAGGGGTCCTGACCCACAGGTTGAGAACCACTGCTGTACAGAATGACGTCAGGCAAGTAAGGAAACAGGCATAGAAGAAAGGAATAGACATATCCGTGTGCTGTTCATAACCTGAAAGCTCTATTACATTTTCCTTTGTCTTTGTGCTGTTGCTGTTTGGGTTAATCTCATGTAGCTCATACTGTCCTCAAACCCACTATGTAGGCAAGGGTGACCTTTAACTTCTAACTCTCCTGCCTCCACCTCTCAAGCACTGTACCATAAAAACAGGGCTTCCAGCACACAAGACAAGGACTCTACCTCCCAAGCCACAGCCCAGGCCTCCTTTACAGTTCTTTATGGGATTAAAGGCATGTGTCATCACCACCCAGCTAACATTTTTTGTTTTTTTTTGTTTTTTTAGATTTATTTTTACTTTTTGTGTGTAGATGTTATACCTGCATGTATGTTTATGTATCACATGCTCGTAGTGGCCTCAGAGACCAGAAGAGGGTGTCAGATTCTCTGGAACTGGAATTACAGTTATGATCCACTGTGGGAGTGTTGGATTGTCTGTAAGAGCAGCAAGTGCTCTCGATGGCTGAGCCATCTCTCCTGCCCTCCTTCACATTTCTTTATCTTCCAATTTTCCATACTGAAATGAGTGGAAGGGCTTTTCTTCTTTTCTCTTTCTAAACTCATAAGAATATATATATATGGATATATGTTATTCATGTATCTGTAATAGATAGATAGCCTGGCTCCTTACCATTTACTAAACAAATTCTAAAGAAACAATACCCTCCCCTGAGCTGTAAGAGAAGAACTGTCTTTGGCCAAAGCTCTTTCACTGGTCACTCATTAACTACTCAGGAGGTACTGTGTGTTCTGCTGCGTGTCACCCATGTCCGGATCACCTCTATATCAAATAGGAAATGGGTTAACCATTACACTATAGGTAAAGTTTCAGTTTTATAATGTTTAATTTGAAATGAAGAAGAGCTGTACCTTTGTTTGATTCATTTAATAAAATACGCTGAACAGACGCCTAATACATCTCAACTGTGAAATCTAAAAACAAGAATATTTTTCTTAGCACATTTTTCCAATAGTATTTTATGGCTTTGGACTGATTTATATATTGGTATTACAGACTAAGAAACTTTATTCCATACATCTTAAATTGAGAAACAAGCTCGAGATTCTTCTGTCTTTGGACATTGGGAGAATGCCAGGCCTATCTCCATGGAAGGATGAGTCCGTCTTATCCTGGAGTGAGAGAAAGAGCATGTGAGCAGATGGGTTTACTTGGGGAGATGATCTTTAATTCCAACCCCATTCCAATCTAAGTTTGGTTAGACTGAATTCTCATAGTGGTTCACATGCAGAGCAAAATGGGAAAGCAACATGCTTCCTTATAACCAGGAAACCACGGTTCAGCCCGTGAGACCTGCTCGTCAGCCACCTGGCATCTCCCTGACTCCTCCTACTTTCTCTCTTTACCTCTGTTCAGATTCCCTGATTGGCTTTACTCTACTAAGTCATTGGTCAAAACAGCTTCTTTAGTAATCAATGATAATAGAACATATTCATAGTATACAGAGGGGAATCCCATATCACTCCACCTTATTCTTTGAGACAGGGTCTCTCCCTGAACCTGGAGCCCATTGATTTTGCTGGGCTGGCCAGTGAGCTCCAGGGATTACTGGTTAAAACAGGTTTCTTGAAAGTCCTGATTTTTCTGCAGGCTGTAAATGGACTCACCGCTCAGAATCTAATACTGCCTTGCCACAGCCCTGGCATTCGACCCTGGTTAACCACAACTGTATGATCTGATGGTTCCACCCTGTTGTCCAGTGACCAGAATCTCTTTAAGGATGGTCAGTGGTTACAGCACAGTCTTGGAAGTCAGAGGGGCGTAGGCTGGTAATTTCCACTACACTTAACTCTCAGAGCAGGCATCACCATGTCCTTCCTATCACCAAGTTTTTACCAGGGAGGTGGAGCTTATCATCCTCAACTTTTGATCACGTGGGCTGTACAGCTATGGGAAGTTCCTGCTGTCCTGCCTCGCATGTGGTAAACAAAGGCAACCGCTTTGTTATGCCAGTCCATGTTCCATGGCTCTCTCGTTTGATTTCCGTCCTTTAATCTTATGTCTCAGTTCTCAGCGCCTGCGTCGCTCATGCCCCACAAGTCCTTCCCTAGCCTCCACTTTTGTGGCACTTGTGCTGTGCCCACACGTTACTTGGGATCAGTAGATACCCCAGTGTCTGGGCTCCGGGCACAGGAGCACCTCATGGTGGAGGGCACGGGCTCTGGGGATGGGCTTCCTGGATTCAAAGCAAGCACTTCCACTTAATAGCTAAGTAGACCGGGTGAATTCTTCAGCCTTTCTGTGCCTCAGTGTCCTCATCTGAAAGGTGGATTGTGTCTATTCCTTACAGTTGGTGTAATGCTTAAATAAAATGTTAGAAATCTGAAACAATGGTGTTTAGAGCATTTTCTGGGACGATTCCTATCCCAGTTAAGAGCACAGACACTGGGGCCGACTCAGAGAGTAAGAGTGTGCACTAGTTTAATCTAGGGCCAAAATCTCAATTCCCAACAGCTACATCATAAAATACCTTTAACTCAAGCTCCGAAACAGCTAATCTTGTTTCTGACCTCTGACCTCTGTGGGCACTTAGCAAACACACACACACACACACACACACACACACACACACACACACACACACCTCTAAAATATCTTTAAAAAGAAAGAAAAGAAAAGAAGGGAAGGAAAGAAAAGAAGGGAAGGAAAGGAAAGGGGAAAAGGACCCCATGCTTGGCTTCTGTGTGCTGCTGTTTTCACTTGGGGTCCCCTCCCAAGTGTAGACAGATGTTCAGGATTCATGTGCCAGCTCCATGGTCCCCACACTAGCTGTGCATTGCTCCCATGTCGAGAGCCCTGTCTCCTTCCTTACTCTGCTGCAGAAATGTGACATGCGGACACAGGAAAGTGAGAAGGAGCACGGCTGCTCTCCAAGCTTCTGCCTTCTGAAGAGCACACCACAGTGACATGTGCCAAGAATGAGGAGACACTCAGGGATGCAGACGGGAGACCTGCCCATTCCTCCTTAGTTCCCTCACCTTCCCTTCATCACATTTAGAAGAAAGGAAAGCACATGATTCCTGCCTGAGGGCCTGACTGTGTACAAGAAACTCTTGTGCATAAGAAGTAAAGAAAATAGCCAGACGTGTAAGCCTAGGTGTGAACTCTCTGGTGTCTGTAGAGGTGTGCTTCTTAGCCGGACTGCTTGAGTCCCAGGATGACAAAGTGTGACCTGACAGAAGCAAGCGGGGAGGCCGACTCAGCTGAGGCTCTTAGCCCTCCAGGGTCCAGGGTCTTACTTCTCAGCCCTCCGTGCCTCGAGTAGTACTTGGCTTGGGGGAGGGAGCTGTTTCTGCTCTGCTGTCCTGGCATCATGCTTCCCACAGGCAGGTTCCTCTTAATGCTCCAAATTCCATCCAGGGCCACTGTGAACACGGTAGAAACAGGCAGTGAGAGTGCGCGGTGCATCCCCTTCCCAGCACGAAGCATTTCAAGAGTCTTTTCCTTGACGATTATGCTTTCAGTTCATTGGGTAAAGTTATATTAGACTTAACCAAGCCACCCCAGGACCCTCTCATCTATTTAATCTTCAATACGTTTCATGCATTCATGTATTGCTGTGAGGAACTAAACCACAATATGCTGTTAAGCTCGAGTCTCCACAAAGACATGAAAAGTCAATACAATAACATATATGGCAAAACAAAAGAATCAAGAAAAATAAAACAAATTCTGCATATTATTTGATTTTCCATATCTGATTCTAATTTAATTCCTTCAATAAGAAGATCTATTTCCACAGACGAGGAAACCATTCACAGCCAGGCAGTGGTGCACGCCTTTAATCCCAGTACTTGGGAGGTAGAGGCAGGCAGATCTCTGTGAGTTCGAGGCCAGGCTGGTCTACAGAGTGAGTTCCAGGAACAGCCAGGGCTACACAGAGAAACCCAGTCTTGAAAAACCTAAAAAAGAAAGAAAAAAGAAAAAGAAAACCATTTACAAGACTGAAGAATCTCTTAAAAGCCATGAGCTAGGTGTATCTTAAAGTTCCCGTGAAAATTCCGTGGCAGCTCCCTGGCTCCTGCTGTTAGAGTGCTGAGCCTCTGGGCAATGGTGTCTGCACTGTCACCTGGCAGATGGCGGCAGGTCTGGAACCTGAAAAGGATGTCTGCACCTTAGCACATGCCGAAGCATTATTAGTGCTTTGTGCTTGAATCCATCCTAAATTGTCTTCCTTAACCTCTGTGCTGGCTACTTCTATGTCAGTGTGACACAGCCTGTCATTTGGGAAGAGGAATCTCAACTGAGAAAACGCCACCACTAGATTGGCCTGCGGGGGAGTTTTCTTGACTGGTGATAGGTGAGGGAGGGCCCAGTTCACTGTGGGTGGCGCCAACTTGAGCAGGTGGCGCTGGGGCTTATGGAAAAGCACACTGAGTAAGCCAGCAAGCCGCATCCCTCCACAGCCTCGCATCAGCTCCTGCCCTGGCGTCCCTCACTGATGGAGTGTGACCTGAGAGTTATATGGATAACCCTTTCCTTCTCGGGTTGCTTTGGTCATGGAATTTATCACAGAGACAGCAACCCTGACTAAGGCAATTTAACTACAGAGGAAGGCACAACCCATGCTGACTGAGTTAGTGAGCTCAGGGGAGCTTCTATGGCTTCTTGGTCTGATTTTGAGTGTGTAAATTGTATTGCTGAATACTCTTCACAGACCCAGGGCTTCCCGCCCAGAGCAGACTCACTGACACTCTCATAACACTTGGTCCCACCATAAAAGATTCTGCTGTAAGTAATGCCTAGGAAGAAGCTCAATCTCTGGGCTCAGAACTGAGAGTGGCTTCAGGCCCAGTTCGCCCATCACCAGCCGGAAGCCCTGGGCAAGTTGTTTTAACCCACGGTGTCTAGTTCCTTAGATTTGAAGTGGGCTTAATAATACCATCTTGGAAGGCTCTTCTCGGATGTGAATGAAATGGACACAGAGTGCTTTGTGTTCAATTAACGGTTGCTATCATCTTCATAAGGGCAGTGACTTTGCTGTCTGAGGGTGAGCTCAGCCTCTAGGGCTGCAGCGGGAGGGCTTGCCAAGCTGAGTGCTACATCAGTTGGCGGGGTGTGTGTGTGTGTGTGTGTGTGTGTGTGTGTGTGTGTGTCTGAAGCCGCCAATCAAGATGAGTGTCATTCTTTCTCTAGGTCCTTAAAGGAAGACTTCACAATTGCCTCCTGTTGAGATCTTACAAAACTAAAATGGTTCTTTATATCTAACCTAAATCTCTCCTCCCTCTCAAGCCAGTTTCCTCTTCTGTCCTGCCTAGAGAGAGCTGCTCCTCCCAGCGGCTGCTCCTCCCAGCGGCTGCTCCTCCCAGCGGCTGCTCCTCCCAGCGGCTGCTCCTCCCAGCGGCTGCTCCCAAACGCAGGTGAAGACAGCCAGAGATTTGCCCTCTGCGGTGGCGGGAAGCCCTAGCAGGTAGAAAGCAGTTCTGGCTCTAGAGCCAGTCTTCTGCAGATAGCCACAGAGAACTGGATATCCAAGTGTTCACCGGCCAGCTTTGGCTCTGGTCTTCTGATCCACTTAGAGGAGAGCTAAAGGTTACAGCTGAATAGAAAACACTCAGAATATACACAAATGCTAAGAAGTAGTTAAAACCTCAAAGTGAAATACAGTTGTGTGTAAGTGGTCACTGCTTTCAAAGATGAGGGCTAACAGGGAAGCAGTTGACAATGCTGTGTCTATTTGATGAGACACCTGGGTGAAGAGGTGACCAGAGCTGAAATACTCGAGAAGAACAAGACACTGAAGGTCTGAGAGGCAGCTCTCCTCTTGGGGGAAGTGACCTCCCTGTGTTCCAGGCATGCATGCACCTTTAAGAAGGTAGCAGGACGACAAGGCAGGGGCAGAGGCAGGAAGGCCTCAGAGTTGGCACACCCGATAGGAAGGGAAAAGAGCAGCAGGCACAAGAGACCCAAATCCTGTCCTAGAACCTTCTAGAGACCTTTTCTCTCCTCGGGTCCTTGATCATTCCTATTCAGAGACCTTCTTCTGTGCACTTTTATTCTAAATTTGAAAATTGTAAGACCATGCATGCTTTCACTAACCCCTAGAGAATCCAACCAGTCTCCAGGTTGTGTGGACTGAGTGACGAGTGGGAGGACCTGGAAGGCGGTGGGGCCATACTTCCCTGTGTCAACATGTTCAGAGCTTTGACAGGGAAAGCAAAAGTTCAAGTGACTGTAATTTCTGCTCAGTGACTTCTAGGCCCTTGACCTGCCTTGGTATGTAATGACCCAAGGGGTTACATTGTATACATTGTAGATACACAGATCTGACAGGAATTTGGGGAGCAGAGGATCAAACCCAGACAGGACCTTGTGTATTTTAGGCAAGTTCTCTATGACTGAGTTGTATCCCCAGGCCCCTTTTTAATTATTTTTCTTCTATTTTTTTTAAAAAATATTTATTTTTACTTCATATGTATTGGTATTTTGCCTATAGGGTCCAGATTCCCTGAAACAGGAGTAACAGACAGCTGTGAGCTGCCATGTGGGTGTCAAGAATTGAACCCTGGTCTTCAGGAAGAGAAGTCAACGCTCTTATCAGCTGAGCCATCTCTCCAGCCCACCTTTTCTGGTTGCTTAAGACAGGGTCTAACATAACACAAGTTGGCCTCAAACCCTCTGTGTAGCCAAGGATGACTTTGAACTCCTTGATTATCCTGGCTTCCACTCAAGTATTTGGATTAGAACAAGCTCCACCAGGAGCAGAAACCAGGAACAAACCCAGTCCCGGGACACAGACAGATCAGGACTGAGCCAGCGACCAGATCCAGAGTCAGAGATCTCCACCACAACAGGTCCAACTCCAAGCCAGGGACTTCTGCAGGAGGAGATCCAGATCAAGATTTACAAAAACAGATCAAAGCCAGCAACCCTAGGCCAAAGTAGGTTTGAGACAGCAAACTCCAAGGGAGTAGACCAAAGTACAGAATAACTGAGCTATCTCCGGGAACAGGAGTAACCAATGGGGTAACTAGAACTGTGACACTGACTGTACCATGAGGAACAACCATCTGAGCTTTGGATTCACTGGCACCTAGAAGATTATTCAACAGAATCTCAGACAGCCCCAACCACACCTATTAGAGGGAAAGATGAGTAGAAAAGGTAAGATCACATGCTACACCACAAAGAGCAACACAATACCAGTAAAACCTAAAGACCCTACAAAAGCAAGACCTGAACAACCAAATAAGGAAGAACCAGAAGAAAATGATCTAAAAATTAATCTCAAGAGAATGTTTGAAATTCTTAAAGATGAAATGAGAAATTTTCTTAAAGAAATGGAGGAAAAAACAAACAAAAAATTTGAAGATATCAGCAAATTGCTTAAAGAAAACCAAGAAAAAGAACTCAAACATAAAAGAAACTATTCAGGACTTGAAAACTGAGATAGAAAAAAAATAAAGAAAAAAAGCCGAAGGAATTATAGAAACAGAAATCATGAGAAAAAGATCAGGAACCACAAATGCAAGCATGAACAACAGAATACAAGAAATGGAAGAGAGGATCTCAAGCAATGAAGATACAATAGAGGAAATGGACTCATCAGTTAAAAAAAACATTAAATCTAACAAAAGCTTAACCCAAAATATTTTTGAAATATGGGACACCATAAAAAGGACAAATCTTAGAATAATAGATATAGAAGAAGAAGAAGTTCAACTCAAAGGCACAGAAAATTTATTTAACAAAATCATACAAGAAAACTTTCCCTACCTAAAGAAAGATATGCCTGTGAAGATACAAGAAGCTTACAGAACACCAAATAGACTAGATCCAAAAAAAGTCCTCTCACCACATAATTATCAAAACACTAAACATACAGAGTAAAGAAAGAATATTAAGAGCTGCAAAGGAAAAAGGCCAAGTAACATATAAAGGTAGACCAATCTGGTGTGGGAGAATTGTCTGTATTCTGTCCATCATATTTTAATAAAACGCTGATTGGCCAGGCAGGAGGTGTAGGTGGGAAAACCAGACAGGAAATGGAAATGATGCAAGGAGAGCAGGAGCATTCTGGGGAGGAGGAAGCTGATTCCTCCCATTCCTGCCCAGATCACCGAAGCAACAGGATGTGAGCTGCCCCACTGAAAAAGGTACTGAGCCACATGGCTAACATAGATCAGAAAAATGGGTTAATCAAGATGTGAGAGTTAGCCTCACCTAATTAGGTCAGAGTTAGCCTGACCTAATGGGCCAATCAGCATTATAACTTACGGAGTCCTTTGTGTGATTTTTCTCTGTGACTAAACTGGGGAAACTGGGCAGGACAGAGAAACCCAAACAAGCAGGCCCGGCCTCTTCATGTTACACCAATCAGAATTACACCTGACTTCTCAGTGGAGACAATGAAAGCCAGAAGGTC